ATGCACCGGCGTATTGCTTACGCTCACTTCTGTCATTAGCCAAGCCTAAAAGCATAACCCTAAACGGAGATGCATCACCTAAAGAGGTCATAGAAAGTCTAGAAGATCTGACCAAAAAAACTTAAGGGAAAACCTTGTCTATCCCACAGGCCTGCATACGGGTAGACGAAATTTAAGAAACTCCAATCCAATCCAGACTTCAGTCTTTCTTCAGTATGACGCCCACCCCGGGCACACATCATACGCCAGTTCAAACGCCCGTATCCAATCAAACCACCCCGATGCGTAAATAAAAGCAAACACCCCCCATGTTCGCAGCTCTGCAAAGACTACGGAGTACGGAGTACGCAGGGGAAACTATCAAGCTCACATGTTTCTTTGTCGGTCGGCCTCTCATTCTCTATCGCAAATCCTGCCAATCCTCACTGGACGGGGAATTAACCATAATCTTAGCCACAAGCAATAAGAAGAAGACTAAAAAAGCTGATCTAACCGCAAACCCAGGCCTCTCTTCGCAGCCGCACCGCAAACCCCTGCCCTGCCGCGGCGCCGCCCCCTCTCCGTGCCGTATCCCGCTCGTAACTCGTTTACCAAGGGGCCATGACCAATAGTCAACCCATATTTACCAAGCCGACGTTGGCCGTGCAGGAACTCCATCATCCTTCTAGGCAAAACAAGGTCGCGGGCTACCTTAGTGTTCCAGGCAGACAGGCACGCCGGGCTCAGGTCGGAAGACTGCACTATGCAAACCGTGCTTTAGCGAAGCGGATCACGAAAGGTTCTGCAAAGAACGAAAAGAAAAAAGTTTACCTAAAATCCCCTCCAACTTCCCTCCTCGTACAGGCGGCCGCACATTGCCAAGCAAATCGGAGGTTAGTCAAGGACTCAAGAATGAAGCCAACATTCTTCTACGTAGTCCTTTCCTTTCTCGCTCGTCAAGTACTCCATTCTTGGTATGGTCGAGAACCACTGACAGACCGAAGCAGGGCCCGGGCTGGGGTGCTGGGCAGAAAAACCTTGTAAAAAGGGCCTTCTGGGAACAGAAAAACCACCCGTATCCGTACAGGCGAACGCTTATTTCAGCGAGGGACCATCACTTTGTTTTATGACAGAATTGTCTATCGGACCATCGCTATTTCTCTCGTGATTCTTTCGCTGTCTAGTGAATTGATAGATACTGATAGGCCACACCGAAAATGACGGTGCAGAGCAATTCCATTTCTGACCCTCTTGAGCGTCTCCCCTATGCTCTCACGAGTCGCAGGCTCATCTTGCTCGGGCATCGCCATATCAAGACTTTGGCTGCCCGCCAGGGTTCCTGAATCGGCTTCGAGATCCTCCCCACTGCCTCAGCCCTTTCTCACACAAACTCACATGACAATCTGTCCCCCCGACTCATGTTTGCTTACTCTACTTTATTCCCGTGCCAGCCTCGCCCTCCCGCATCCCGTGGGCTAGCGATACCAAGCTTTTGGACACAAACCCGCTCGACAATCGTGCCATCGTCGTTTCTTTGTCTTTTCCCGATCTCCACTAGCTCATGGGATCGTTGATTCAGAGGTTCGCAACCGGTATCTCTAGACGCATAGCTAGCCTATGCCTCACTTACCCCTCCTCCTTCCTCTCTTTTTCACCAAAGTTCAAAGTCACCTTGCCCTTTCGTTGAATGCGCCGACTAGCCAAACCATGACACAATGGGAACTTATCAAATTCTCGGCGCCCAGGCTTGATCCAGGTAGTTCACTTTTGAATAATAATCGACCGCTTCCCACACCCCACTCCCCTTGTTCACAGTAAGGAGAGAAAAACGTGTCCTCTGCATACCCGTATAATACGACCTTATTACGAATAAACTCGAGCGGAAACTAGCACACATACGGAAAGTCGATGCGCGCAAGTGAGAAAGCCGGTGCCGTCCGTCCCAGACTCCTAGGTAAGATGGTAGACCAGGCACCTCCAGAGTCCAGCGACCTGCCCAGATCAGCAGGAGGATGACAGGATCATACGGGGGGAGCCTATCTCGCTGCATCCGAACGAGATCCAACTGGAGATGGAACCCGCGCCTACAAAGTACATATTGTGCCGCAGCCCGCAGTGCAGGATGATCGAAGGAAGACAGCACACACCGCCGCCGCCCCGTGCTGTGTGCTGCGGGCGAGCTGCGCTGCAGCCTGGTAGGGGTAATGTGTGAGCTGAGCTGAGCTGAGCAAGGCCACATCAATAGTCAGCTGAAATGAGGCGTGCCAAAAGGTTGAAACATAATCAACTTATTTCTCCATCGCCGCGGTACGATGGTAAGTCTGTTGACCCAATTCTATCTACTATTTAACTCTATCGTTTTGCATTACTAAAGGATTACCGCAGTATATATAGACGCTACCCTACCCTCGAATTCCGTACTATTTAACCTTAACCTTTTTTATAAATTACTTATCCTTTCCTCTATTTTACCCTCTCTCTTAAAGGATTATTAAAATTATAGTTTTAATAACTTATTAATAAATTAGTATTATTATTTAAAAATAAGTAACTTATTTTTATATATAAGTACTAAGAGTCTTATTATTATAAAAATAGTAATAAATATACCGGAGTATTTAAAAGAGCTTTTTAATAAACTTTTAATATTATTTAAAGCGATTATTTTTAAGCTATAAAAAGAAGTTAAGGCGCTATATTAATACGGCTCTATTTATTTTATTAATATTAATAATACCCTTTTTAATATAAAATATATTAATAATACTTTATAATTACGTTATTATACTTTATAAATCGTACTTAATATTAATAAGGTTTTTAATATTATTTACTAAGTTTTTTATTAAAGTCGTTATTATAAAATTAGTTTAGTTATTAATATTTTAATAAGTATTTTAACTTAATTTAAAAGCTCTTATAGCTTTTAAAAAGAGGCTTTTAAAAAACTTATAATTAGACTTTTTATTTATTATAAATAAAGCTATTATAATTAAAGCTATAATACTATTTATAAACCTTAATAATAAGTAGTTAATAATATAATTATTTTTTTTTATAATAAGCTTAAAAAAATATCTTAATTTAAGTACTAAATAGGTATTATATTATTTTATTAAAACTATATTCTTATATTTATAACTTAAAAAAAATTAACTTTCTTTAATAATAAGGTACTTAGACCTAATTCTATTATTCTAGCGAGAGATGGTAAGAGTTCGTTTGTCTCGAGGATGCAGAAGATCCATCCATCATGCGGCTTTCCTCTCCCTTTGCCGTGAAAAAGCAAGCACTCAGTCAAATTGTATGAACCCGTCTATGTCGGCCGCCTATCAAGATCCCCCTTTTGCCCTGGAGGACAATACGGATAATCGCAGTAGGCAAACACCGTCCGTGACTACCCAGTCTCTCGGTTCCGGTTCCCTCGTTTTTTCCTCTTCCTCTTTAAGACGCTGCAAACACACCTGGGGGATGCGCAAACCAGATACCCGGGATCGAACAGCCAGCTCACACACCCTTTCTAAACACGATACTAGGGCACCTAAGCTGCCTCGCTACTGTAATCAACCCGAAAAATCAAATGGCAAGGGAGAAGGTATCATCAGTTGTAATGGAAACGACTCAAGTAAGGATATTCGAGCTCTTCTCGACTCATTCCTCACTCCCCAAACAGCCAACCTCTTGGCTCCCCAGTGTGCCAGTTGCCAGTTTACCCCCATCGAAACCACTGCTTCCACGCCCTCCTCGGGTTCGGCCCACCGTCGACATCATCACCATGTCCATCACTGCCTTGAACGAAAAGACTGACCCGTCCGGCAAATCCCCATGACAATAACACAAAGGAGAGGGAAATGCCAAGCAGGATCCCCCACCATCCCGTCCGTCGCTATTTCGCCGCGGCCGCCGAGACGATCTCTGACTCTCTCCCTCTTGGCCCCCACCGGAACAGCGGTGGCTGAGGAATGCAAAGGGCTGTGTGTTTTAAGGTCGACCTGTCAGTGCCAAATCTTAAAAACCCTAATAAAATAGGCCCTGCCGGAAGGTCGCAATATCAGAAAACGGCGGCCAATAGTACGGTAATCCCCGAGGCGTGGAGGATGTGCGCGCGTACGTATGTCATGTCAGGAACGCATCACTGTGGGGAAAATGTTCAACCGAAATAGCACATCCATTCATGCGAATGATCGCCGGTGCCCCTTGCTCTTGTCGCTTTTTGTCTTTTCTCAGCCTCAGCTCAACTGCCAGCTTGGGTGCTATATGTATTGTGGCTCTTAAGAGCTCAGGTTGATGGACCATTCATTATCCCCATAACCGCGCGGCTGAGTTTACATATTGACGCTGTGTAGGCTGCCTCAGCCAAGATCTTAATGTTTGAAACAGAGTACGTGAATGGGCGATACCACCAACTCTCTGTTACGATATTTACTCACATCGACTTCTGCGTTTGGCAACTGGTTCGGTCTTTTGCCATCTGATATCTCGTGCCTCGCATGAATGCCGTCAATCAGCGCACGCAACCTAAACTTCGAAATCTCCCCGATGGAAAAACCGGCCGCCTGGATTGATCCGAACTTTCGAGATCAATCCGGGCGCCAGCCAGCAGCCGTGTAATAATTCCAAGCGTGTCCCAGAAAGCGAGTGTTAAAATAACCAGTGCGACCACGACATCCGCTTGCCCCTTCACTACACACGCCCCCAACAACAATTACACGTTCCCGTCCCGCGTAAAGTTCACCATCTAGGTTTTCCGTGACTCGAGCGTCTTTTTGGCATCCTGTCAGATGTATAGGATGAACCGATGCAAAAAGTAAGTAAGCAGCAAATCCAAAGGCACCATCCACTAAACCCCGTCCTCCCGGCCTCCGCCATGCTGTCGTCGTCAGCTTTCTTGATGTCTGTGAGATCCGGGCCCCCTTTCGCATCACGCACGGCATGCAGCCCGCCGAGCGCGTGCAGCCTTGGAACCATCGCATCGGTGCTCTTTTACTCTCGTGAGGTCCCTATCCGTGCTCGGTACCGCCATGAAAGTCCGCTCGCAGATGGTAGCCCCATCCGCTCGTGTTAGACGGTACCGCTTCGGCGATGGGCAGAAGGTAATGAGAAGATACCTTGGCTTGCTGGACAATGCGGCTGAGCCAGACGACATCGCAACATCGGCCCAGATTCGTGGACCCCCAACATCAACAGCCAGCCACGAAAAGCCACCAACGCTGTCCCACGAGACCGTCATTCTGCGTGAATTGTATGTAGGTAACCCCACATGTGCCAAACAGCTACCAACGCCTCAGCGGTGTCTGTACACCATTTCACAATACCTACACACCGCCGAGTCCTTCTCCCAGTGCCTCCGTCTGTCACCCGTCAGATCCCAATCTCACCGCCCCCTTCGTCAGATTCTCAGTCCCAAGCAGCCTGGTGAGACAGAGCCCGGCTGACACCTGCAACAGCAAACAAGCTGCACCACCGTAACGGGCGGGCAACCATCAACACGGCACAGCATCGCAACACCAACACCAGCGAAACTGACAAAAGCCGTAGTACGGCGTAACCGTAAGTAACCCTTTTGACAGCCGAAACCGAAAAAGGGCCCATCCTCCCTCCCTTCCCCTCCTTCTAATCTCTCAACTTTCGTCCGTTCCATGGCTTTACCTAGCCCTCTCTCCACGGATCATCAAGCTTAATCTGTCCTCATAGTACTGTGCCAGCCCGCCGGCTGGCCCCTTTCGTATTACGTACTCGGCTGGTTTTAACGTTTTTGGCATATTTGACGGGTCTCGCATGTCCGAAAGCAAACAACCATTGTGTGCCATTCTACATACCCCGTAGCCGCGGCAAGCTTGAACAACGATGGACAATGTCCTTCTCACAGCATCTGTGTACTAGTGAAGTAAATTTCCCTCGGACAAAGTTAGTATGTCTACATGGGCTGCAATTATCACCGATCAGCAACGGGCAGACTATTCCAACACTCAAATCTACGTTCCCGCCCCAAATCTCCAAGAATCTCGTTGCAATCGGCGCTGAGGCTGGCCGCAGCGTTGCATCGCAGGGCGAACCTCCCGGCGTCCGCATTCTCCGAGAAAGGGGGGACCCCGCAAACAACCCCCGGAGAGAGAGCTTCAGCCTTCACCTACTCCAACAAACTCCAACCCTGACCGTCCCATCCGAGATCTCTCTTCCCCCTCACTGTGATTGCTGTCCCCGAGCTTAAAAAGGTCATTAAATGAAGAGGTTAGTCCCGGGCCTGGGATATCCCTCGTTGGGTCCCCAACGAGTTTCTATCTCGTGAGGCGAAAACGACTTCTACAACGCGACACAGCCTGGCGCCAAGACATGTCAAGTCGCAGTGTTTAACAAAGGAGGGAGGGGGGAGCCAGTGGGTAAACGGAGGTTACACGGTAACATTAGACGACTTCGCCGGTGGCACTTGTAAACCCGTAAACCCTCGAACCGTCCCAAACCGGCCCGTTGTCCTTTCCCCCAAAACGGCGTTGCGATCTCGAGGGAGTTTGGACGTACCGAGAGTGTTCCTAACGGCAACGGGATCCCACATGTAACTGTCGTTTGGGCTTGTTTGACGAAAGGGCATGCGATTCGTGAGACGTTCTCTACCCAAAATTCCTACTTTGACATGTCCCACGCTGTACGTCGATCCCAGAAAGCTGGCCACTGTCGAGAAACAAGACCAGCACAAGGTACCTTTTGGTCATGCTTCCATTCGATCTCGTCTATGAGTGACTCTACATGTCGCCTTTTTCTTTCTTTCTGCAGAACGTCTTGGCCGGCAGGATGCATGAGTAGCGAAACAGGCTAAGGTAGACGGGTGGTTGGGTGGGTGTGCTGCACGCAGACACACCTGCGTGCAAGTCTGTGATAACTTGCTCTGCAAATCCAAACCAACCGCGAAATCCAATCAAACTAACCAACTTGCTCTTGTTGCCTGCGTGATGTGGGCGAATCCAGTGGCAGGATGCACTTGTGGTTTGAAGTGTGCGATGCCTGGCCCCCCTGCTTCTCAGATTAAGCGAATCGGGTACTTTTGTTGCCAGAAGCAGACAAGTAGGCCTTTCATAGGCGTGCCACAAGAATAATACCCATACGGACAGACTACTTCAATTTACAAGAGTAATGTACGAATGGTTCGCACATGTATCCGTAGCCCGAAATGCTAAACACCTCACAGTTGCATCATGGGTAGCAGAATGAGAGAAGGGGCTCAATACTACCAAACGCCCGTTTCCCGTTCCCCGAATCCAGCACACCATTGCCGAGTCTCCCGTCTACACAACGGGAACACGGCAGACCGAACGGCAAAAGTTAACCGTTGGGTAATTAAGGTAATTACTCAAATAGCAATCTGTATGCCCGCGTGTGCCCATACCAGCAGCGTCATTAAGGTTGGCCCAGAGCTTACACCCCTCACCCTACCTACCTTAGCTCAAGTCTTTTTTTTTTCGCTCAAGAGTTCTTCCCTTTGGTCACGAACTGAATTTGGACGAACGGAATTCCGGCTCCTGAGGCTCCCCACCATCATGTCTACAGCCTCCCCCCGGACCCCCTAGGTTCCCCCTCCCTTTGAATTCGTGACCATTGGGGGAATAGAAAGTTGGAGAGAGTTAATACTTAGCGTACTCTATCCGTAGAGACCATCGTCAGAAGCAGGCGCCACGAACCAATCACTAGCGAGCCGAAGAGCCGGGTACTCGTCACCCTTCTACGCAATCTCGGATCAAGGCAATATGAAATCGTTCGAATGTGCTCAGAGGCACGGAGAAAGATTCCGAGACCCGTCTCGCTGCTGCCATCACAAACAAGACATCATTCAATAGCAGGTCTTTTTTTTCTTGAACGGGAAGAGTTGCCGGCGCTGTGATGGAGCCTGTAGCTGCTCTTCCATGGTTAAACTTATCCACCGGTCTGGATCATCCCTCCCCTGTACCTGGAAGGCAGTAAACTTTTCTCGCTCACGGCACAGCGGCTATCAAATAACAAAAAGAAAAGAATGGGAGCTAGCTTTCTCAAGCGAGGCTTGCAAGCCCTTCAACCCGCGCGCCCGCGCCCGCGCATTTGGGAAGCGATGGCGCAGAATCCCTCGGAGATGAGCCCAGATAGACTTTAGGGTGTCCTCTACTTTAACCAGCCTACGGCTCGCGGTATCCGTCCAGGCGAATCACAAGAGGGTAAAAAGGCTTGTTTGCAGGTCCATCAGCCCTGTAGGCTGCACGGGGAGAGGGAAAGACTCGAAAGAGGTGTGGCACGCGCGCCCACCCCGGGACCGAGTCAGCAGAGTCAGCAGGAGTCAGCCAGGAGGAATGCTCGTCGATAAAGCTAGATCCCCTTTCAGGATAGCCCGTCATCCGTCTCCCTTCCTTCATATCCAGGTCTAGGATATCTCCGTCTTCAGGTTGGGGCGGTTCACACTCGCTGGATAGTCAGCGGGAAGGCTTACCACTCGGAAGCTGACTACTTCAGTCGACATGGGAGTTGTGATGGCCTGTGGCATTGGCTCGTTCATTTGGGTCGGCTGAGCTTGATTCCCCATCTTCTTGTAACCGGGAGACCCTGGGCCCGACCATTCGAGTCAAGGTATTGTGAAGTCGTAGACAGAATTTAGGTACTGCCACTTCGGCCCACGGCACGAAAGCGTATCCACCGCCAAAGTTCGGGAGTATTATTCTACATGCACGGATACAGAGAGTTTCTAATTCGAAGGGGGCTCATCAAGTACCTACAGATATCCGTACACATGTAAGATAGACGACGATCATCGGCGTATCGGCATCAGCCACAGATTAGCTGGACGCGGGCCCCGTAGCATCCGTATCATTTTGAGAACATGACCGTCCACTCCTTGGCCTGCCCAAAGAGGCACAAACCTGGGCTTGGCGGTGATCCTATGGATCTTGGGTGAATCAGGATGTGTATCCCGCTAAACGGCGAACCATTGCACACAAACGAGGGTCAGCCTCTTTCTATTGCTGCCAAGACCAGGTTGGCGTTGCTGGGCATTCCGTGGCACATGTCTGGTGCGCTCGTATCCTTGGGGGCTCGTACTTGGAGTCACGGATTAGTAGCACCATGGACTCTTTTATTCTGATTTGGTGGCTCGTACCAAGAACCGAGTCCTGCTTTCTGTGCGAGAGAAGCGGGTAAAGACTTGGGAAACGGCATGCCCGTCGACCGATTATATCCGTAGGAGTGACGAGAGAAAGAAGAGGCGAGCCACCGGACCGATTGTCCACTGGTGCCGCAGACGCGCACACAATCCGACAGGGTAATTACTGAATACCCTGTGATGTGGGAGAGCCAAGGTTTTCTTCGCTGGACGGGCTAAGCGAAGAAAGGGGTGGAGGATGGGGGGGCACACAAGACGCCGATGTATCCTTGCATCAAATCACGGCGGTGGATTAAGCAGAGAGACAAGCTTAGTCCGAGGCGCCAATCAGTACATTCCTCGGGTTGAGCCACGCCCATCTAACCGCTGTTACGCGACCGGATGCCAAGATGACGAGAATTCGACTGAATGATAGATGGACTGGAAGCCTTCGTGGTTGGCTGAGCCAGGAGCGATGACTAGGAAAACTGCCACTGTAAATAAGCCAAGCAGGAGGCCAGCGCCACTGCACCATGAGCAGGTTTAAGCATGAATTTAAGCGTTGTCAGCCACTGCTCCTAGCGTCGTCTTGGTCTTCTTGGCATACCTCACAGCTCCTCTGGGATCTGTCGATGTTCTTCTGGAGGTTGTGGTCGGTAGCCGGGGGGGGGGGTGGCTGGAGTAAGGAGGGGCAGCGAAGGCAGCACGATTTTCTTGCTTACGCCCTGTGTTGGTGAGCGGCGCTGTCTTGGCCACTTATGAGTTATGGAGCCTAACGGACTTTTCGAGGAGCACCGGGTCCGAGAGAGAAACGGTTCTAGAAGGCGAGGCGAGAGACACATCCCACAAGAAGAGATAAAAAGTACGGCTTCAAGAAGTCTAAAATACCCCATGAAGCAATACGCCGCGGATGCAGTCTCTTTCGGCATCCAGGAATACATACAGAGTCAACTCAATCTCTTCCTGTTAGTTCTTCTGCGCGCAGCATTGTGTCTCTATCGGCATGCAGTATCTATAGCCGTATCCGTAAATTCTCCAACTTGAGGCGGCAGCTCATAATGAAAGCCGGAATAACCGTCGTCTTGGCATGGGGACGTGGACTGGGCGGTCCATGGTCAAATGTCCGTCCAAGGTTTCCCTCTGCAGCAGATAAAGTGCGCCTTCAGAGCCCAATAGAACCTTCCCCGGTCTCTTCTCTTTTGCTTCCGTCCCGACGAAGGTAAGATGCTTATTCAGACGGGCGGTGAAATACCCTAGATTTAGCCTAGAGTTTAGTGACTATGCGTCTTTGGCTTTTGCGGGAAAAGGTTTATGGTTAAGATTGCAAGAAACCCAAATCGAAGCCCGCGGCTGCCCCCTGCTCGCTTTCGGTCGAGCCGTGGACCGCGCGGGTCTCTCCTTGACAGCCTGACAGGATTCCCCGACATTGGAAGAGTCGATGATAATGCTTATCTCGTTGCTTAGGATCGTTCATGACTTATACTTCATTGCGGAGTAGTCCTTGCAATACGGCAGTATGGCAATATGGAGGTCAGCAAAGTCAGAAAGGTTATTGGCCACTAGGCTTCCGGACCAGCCGCGCAAATCCAGAGAGAGAGCGGGTGGGCAGAGTCTAGAGAGCCTCACTATCTCAGATATTTTTTTGCATGTTTCGGCCATCGAGTAAAGCTTAAGCCCCTCCTCCCGCCCCGTCTGATAACTGTAGAATTCAGCGGAAAGATTGATGAGACGAGACGTACCGGTGCGAAGGTCTTTCAAAGTTCCAAACCGACCCGAACCGGCCAACGATGCTGCCCAGTGGTGCCGGCTAAGAGGGTCCTCGCGCGAGGCTTTGCTTCTCAGCTTACGCTCTTGCCCAGGATTACGGATTCCTTCTCATGCTGAGACGATGGACTGTGCTCCAACGTACGGATGTTGGAAGATATGATTCTGAGCGTAAGAAGGCGAGGGAAAATGAATGTGGCATCGGCCCAAAAACCTAGAGAACCTAGGCGCTGGGTCTATACATACGAATAGAGTCCCTAAGAAGGACAACACTTGAGGTTCTCTGCTCAGAGTGGCCGGCCATCTCGCTCAATCTTACCTTAATCGAGCTTGACCCGCCATCCCATGTCCCTGAACTCCGACTCTGAGCCAACAGGTCAGAATAGGCTCGTAACACCTGCGGCGCCTGACAGGCTTCCCTTGTAAGACGCGGCTTCATTGGCTGTGAGAATGTTGACTGCTGTGAGAGTCGATCCTTCAGGAGGATAGCTCCTGTATCCCTATGGAGCAGGAGTGCATGTACGAATACGCCTTTTCCAGCCTCCGTGGTGCTCATCTAGGTATTCGTACCTTGGTGTGAAGGGCACCCCGCCGATGTGCATCCCGCCTTGGTTCGCCGCAAAGCCGCAGGGCAAACGGAACCTCTTCTGGATCCGGCTCCCACGGTGCACTATTGCGCTGCCCACAACCCGCCGTTGGAACCCCATCCGACATGGCCGGTCTGTCCAACGCATGTCGCCGCCGTCAGCTCTACATCAAGATGACACAATATGCATATGGAGACCAAGACCTTAGCTGCATCTCGGGATGCTCTTTCGCAGAGAAAGAAAGTAGAAGCGGCCGACAGTCGGACATAGGAAAGCCTCTAGCTCAGCACATTCATCGTAATGATCGCATAACCGTCTTGCTAGTCTCCACTCTCCCAAGCCGAACCCGAGCAAAAGTCCAAGAAGGGGCTGTTCTCGTGAAAGCTCTCCACCGTACGGATACTTGATTGAGCAGCAGAGGCCACGGAAACCTGGAAGAAGAGCGAATAGAAGACTAGACAGGGCGTGGTCGCCAGTTCACGTTTCGCTCGTTGCGCCCGCGGTGGGAACCCGCCCCAGTGGTTATCCCTTCGGTCCACGGCCCAGTCGGGGCTCCGTTCGTCTGTTGCGAAGTGCCGCGCGCAAGTCAGCCAGCGTTGAAGCGCAAGGCATCTCGCAACCCGCCCCCATGACTCGGTTTGCATAAAGGATAAGCCGTGACAGCAAACCCTAAATAAAAGTGTAAATCGCAAGTGAAGGGATGTCCCCTTGAAACGATGCTTCCTTTCACACCCCCCTTGGGGAACAACGATAGACGTCATTCAGGGTCAAATATACCCACCATTGCAATTCGGATAGGAATAGAAACGTAGAGGTTCAGTTACCGGATGTACCGTACGAGGAGAGCAAATATTAGACATCGATCTTAACACTGAGTCCCTTTGGAGGAACTCGGATGTACGCTTGGCGTGTCACACGTTCACGACCGCTGGTTACCTTTCGTAGGGTCGCTTCTAGCGCCGGGTTTCCCGCTCACTAAGCGGCTCAAGAGTCAAGAAGATGACGGCCTTGCTTAGTCACGACATCAAGGCGGCATAGAAGCCAGATGTTTGCTCAACTTCGGAGTATGTGTCATGAAGCTTGTCCAAATCGCCGAGGGCGCAAGCTTAGCTCAGCTTCGCCATCAGCGTGTCGAGTGAGGCAATGTACTACTTTGGGAGATTCTGTCATTCCAACATAAATGTAGCCGACTGGTGGGCACACCATCTGTGAGTTAGACTCGGCGCCACCACCACCACCGGTGAGCCAAGCTTCTCGGGTGATGCACCTGGAATGCGGCCATCCAATGTATTAGTCGACGCATTTGGTGGATGCATCATTGCCATGTCTGTTATTCGTTCGGGAAGATTTTGAAACGCAGATAGAAGCGAGAGGTATGGCCCTTCCACCAGCGAAAATCCTTCTAACTTTTTTGTCACAGTTCAATAGGTAGGATGGGATGGATCGGCTCTGGCACAGTTCATCCTGTTTCCGTAGAGCCTATCAGCACATTCGGTGCCAACAGTCAGTTTGAGCAACCGCTTGCCTGTAGCTCACAACCTCGATGTTGGTGAAGTGCAGCATTGGCAGAGAGCTTATATGCGGTACCTGTCGGGTTGAAAGCCGGGCTAAGGCGTGCATGTTTTGAAGCTGCAAGCGCTCATCCTACGAGTGAAGAACTCCATCCTACAACAAGGCAGCTGAGAAGAATCCATCTTCCCGTCCCGTATTTGGAGGGACGCCTCTTGAAGCAACGGCCCTACATTGACCAAGATGGGAGAGGCGGCCGGCACAGCAACAACTTCAAGCGAAGACGGGCCGCGGACGCAGGCTCAGCCTGATCGGTGAGGTGCTCATCCCCGTACGCCTATCCCAAGGGAGCATTCAAGGCCGACCTACATATCAAAAAGTCCAGCCTACATGGTTCAGGAACTCATCCTATTGAAGAGGCGACTGCTTCATCATTCTGAGAAGCATGCAGCGTGGAGTCTGTAGGCAAGATCGGGCGCCAGGACTACATGTAGCCATTTGAGCCAGGAACCGGTTTGCTGGGTCTGCGGACTTCCACTCAGTTCGCTAGAAGAACCGCCGCATGGATTTATCTTTCAAAGCCCATCACGCTTCACCTTCCCTAGGTCGGCAGGACCAGCGATACCGCGTACACGCTGGCGAATTCGGGAAGCTAGCCGGGATACCGCTGTCGCCATTGGCGGTACAGGTCATCGAACGTCGGATGAGAGTTTGGGAATCGCGAGAAGTAAGTCGTCCGCGATCATAGACGCATCACATCATCACACCATCGCCCTTGGAGCAAGGTGAACAGTTGCCACGAGCAATCCTCTCAAGGACTGATGATGGGATTCTCTATGGACACGTAAAGTAAAGGCCCTAAGTAAACAACTGACCATCCGAGAATGTGATGTATGGGTAAAGTCGATGACGAGCTCCTGAGCTTAACCTGAACGTGCCTTACTGAGCTTTCACGCCTGCTCGTATAGACTCCACGCCTCTCTCCATATTGCACACCAAGGTAAGTGGACCAACCATCAACCGAGTATCCGGATATGGGACTGTTGAGTTTTCAGACAACAAAATGAAGATCCTGGTAGATTTGCCGTATATGCAAGGTCAATGATAATGGCATCCCCGCTGTCTAGTGACTTCCGTTGGACTAGGTGTACGAACTTCTGTATCAGTGATCATTCCCCGTAACATGAGCCATGAGCTGGGTATTTCACTGTTGCCTGGCGATGTCCAAAAAGAGTCTGTACGGCGTGAAAATTCTCACTTGATGATCCTTCGCCCGACAACGAAAGCCTCCAGCTCCTCTCCGATCCTCTCACATCGAGAATGGCAGGTGCCTGGCGATGAGAAGTCCACGACGGGTGTGCGGCGGCGTCGGTGACTGATGGCTGACATGGGATGAAGGGGACCCGCTTGAGCGGCACAGAACGGTGCCCGGCCACGAACATGAAGACTCTAATCTGAACGGGCGGATGCCCGGATACGTCGGCGGCCCTTGGAGAAGATCCAACCGTTCCCCCTCCTCATACCAAAGGTCCCCTACGGTCCCGAAAGATTGGCAGCCTAACTCCGTAAAGAGACAACACTAAACCAACTGCTCTAGTGCCGTTTGGTCACCGGATTGATGCATTGGCATTGAGGCAGTGCTGGACCACCCCCTCTCCGAGTCCCCAGTTCCAGCCGAGCCAAGACCGGCCAGTCAGACTCGATGAGATGAGATTTTGGGGGTGTTGAAGCCTTGGAAGGATTTGTTGGACGCTGGGCGAATCCACGGCCCCGATACGAACGGTTGTCTAAACCAACGCCGGTGCTTGGTGAGGTTGGGACACTCTATCGCCCGTATACCACCGGCGACGCCCTGACTACTAGACGAGAGCCGCCGCCAATGAACCCCGAAGCCTGGGGCGCCTGCTCGGATACGTCTTGGCAACCTTGCTTGTCAAAATTCAAAAAAAAGGTTTTGTTGATGGTTGTCAATGTGAACCGGCGTCTTCGGGGCGGTTCTAACTTCCGACATACTCACTGGTCGCCAGCATCGTCCCTGTGGTAGAGATATCCCTTGCTTCGTGCACGCAGGTTAAAAACTATGTTCTCTATGCTGACCAGTATGAACCTCAACATCCCATGTAGGAAAGCAGAAGAACTTCAGCTGCGAGCTGCTAAGGCGGCAGAACGCAGTCGTCCACTTAGTGTTGGAAACTAGCATCGAAAAGGATGTGCGAGCGCTTGCGAGAGACAAATAAATGGGCCGGTGTGATGAAGTCACGCACCTTGCCTGTCGGTGTCAGGCCACCCAGGAGAGGATGAAAAACATAAACCTCAGCCAAAGAAGTTTAGTTCCCATGGTGGGATTCGTGACCAACACCAACACCAGGTTTTAACAAGACAGACGGGCGTTGGTGCGCCATCCGTCCAACCAACTCTGGTGTGTGTGTGTGTGAGTGAGAACTAAGAAGACAGAAGAATGGCGCACAGGCCGTGACACTCCCTAGCTACCTTACGCAGGCTTCCTCGGCTGCTTGGCTTGGGGGGTCTTTTTCCCTCTTCCCACCGGGATCCCGAAGGTGTGCTTAAGCTTAATTCGATACTCAAATGTAAGCCACCACGCCATATCGGCCTTCATTCGTTCGATGGAATTCCGGGTTGCGCCCCACACACAGTCATTCTTCTGTTGCTTTTTGCTCTCTTCTGGCTCTCGTTATCCCCTGCTTGCTTCCGAAAGCGAATGCTGCTTCCGCGGTGGAGAGAGAGAAAAGGCCCTGTCGGCTGCCCTGGCATACCTGGATTTTGAACAATAACCCGCGGCGTAATAAGGATTCAGGGGGCGGTTCGCCAAATCATACATCATCAAAAACCATGTGGGATTGAGGAGCGGATGGTTTATTTTGCTGACGCGGCCACCACCGCCCCCGGAGCAAATCTTTCTAGTCTCTGAAAAAGGAGCAATGCCAAAAAGGAGGATGGGAAGATACGGATAAAAAATGCGCACTAAATCATCGACGGCGGGGAACTATCGATAGCGCCATCCTAGATTCCCTCGTGGCATTGGGAATGGAATGCGCGCCGGCAATATCGGTTCCGCTTGTTCCTCTTCGTATGGATATTCCCGCATCCCATCCGTCCAATGTCTATCACCACAACCGACTACGAATACAGTCGGCGTCCGTCTTCTTTGATAGCCCCTCACACCTTTCGGATTGTGGGGAGTCGACGGGTGATGCTCAGCTGCCAGGTTGCAGCAGTGGGCACATTCTCAACTAACTTGACCAAAGTGACAAGTGTCAAGAACGGGAGAGACACCGTTTTCGACTGCCGCGTGGGCAAAAAATGTGCCTCATCCCCGCGTCGGACGGTCGCCGTGCTGTTTTCAAGATGCTTGGCTACGGATGGCAGTCTGCCAGTCAAGGTCTTGGTTGTTGACGTCCCCCACTTCAGGCGAAGCTTTTGCTGATCTTCCTGTCCCCTTTCGGGTGCTGAGTAGGTGCCATTTACTCTCTTTCGGTTTTCTGACATGGACTCGAAGCCTTGTCTCTAGAGACCAGAGGAACTGTAGCATCCATCTCCCTGTTATGGTGATGAAGGGCAAGGCGGGCGGTCACGCAGGTCAGCAGTCCTTTAACTCGGGCAGTTCATCGAGACAATGCCCGGCTGGGGGCTCGGTGATGTGTGCCCTGTCTACTCCGTGCCCAATCTAGTAGATCGAAACCGAGCTGGACGCCAAACGTTCGCGTTCTTGTCTTTCATAAACAGCTCGTGCCAAGCATCTTGGGTGATGCTTGGCAGAGTTGGCGTGCGCATATCATATCAGGAAGGGCGTCCGTCCATCTCGTTCTCGAGAGAAAGCTAAAGGGGGCACTCGGTGGTCACCACACTGACTTCAGCGGTGCTGGAATAAAGAGGTGGCAGCCGTTAAAGGCCCCAAGAGAGGCTCATGGCCTTGGCGTCACCATAATATCACGATCTTCGATGATCATTGCTCACAATCTGTCTTGTTTTCCGAGGGATTCCCAGACTCCAGAACACTGCCACACAATCTCCATCCAGTGTCTCGCCCATTATAGAAACGTAATTTGCCTGTGCCGAGGACGCATTCCACGGCGGACAATCAATCAAACTTTGCTATCCGAGGGACGGAATATCCCTTGTTGGCGCATATTCGTCGTCGATTTGAAGACTTGACCAGTCTATTCTAGTCTGAAAAGAATAGGATCAAATCTCACAGCCAGAGCTCTTCTCTAAACCCTCAATACTCAAGAAACGTTGCCGATAATTACGTCGTCAGAGGTTGTTCGAGGCAGCCGCAGAGCATCCTGATAGCAGAGATGGCGGCCTCCATTTCCGTAGTCACATCCGCAATCAAAAGAGTCGGGGAGCCGTGTAAATGGTATATCAGTTGCGGCACTGAGCACATTCTAAGTGATTCCTGAAATCCTGGAGTCGAAATACTGCTCAATATCAAACCGTCAATAACAAAGAGGTGATCCTGCAGAGAATCATGCTCGACGAGGTCAACAACCTTGTATGCTTGGGAGGGCTAGTGACTACTTCTCCTAAACAGCACTTATGGTAACAATTCAAGAAGTGACGCAACAAGTAATTGATATGTCTAGATATATCGGGTATTGGATTGTACAGGTGTTGATACAGAGTCCGGAGTCGTGTCATGTGGCACCGGACGCAAGATCATGGGCAAATTACAAAACATTTAGACATGTGTTCCGTGAAATTTGAGGGTATGTGGTCGAAAATAGGGACGGCTTTGGTCAACGATCACCAACCCAAGTGATGCTCCGTGACTCTCAATTCTGACGGCGGCCTGCCTAGGCCCATCCGTCATTTTGATGGGCGACTTGAGATCGCCTTCAACATCGGCTTGCACAACCCTGTAATGTAGGTGGTCTGATTCGCGTTGCATACCATGTGAGACCGAGCCACTGGATGCTTGGTCCCTTCCGTCGTACAACGTCGCGTGATTGTCCCATGGGTATCGAATCCTGTCAACTGCAAGCCACGGTGTACATAGCTTTGAGCTTTGCAATCAGGTCTCAGACGTCGCGCTTGGCAGCTCAAGAGCATGGTGCACATGCACAAGGCGACTCAAGGTCGACCATCTTTATGCCAAGTGAGGTTGCACAAACATCACGCATCGCCGTGCAACTTCTGTCGTACTGGTTTCATCAAGCCCGTCTTCCAGAATCCCAGGTAGGCAAAGCTTAACGAGGCACCGCATCGTGAGTTGGTATGACTTGGGCCCCGGTTCATCCTAGACTGTCCTCTGACCACCTTAGCAGTCGCACCGGCCAAACCAGCGTGGAAAAGCCACAACGTCTCTGACATTAGGGACTCCCACAAGATAACTCAGCAATCTATCGAAGCCCAGGCCAAAGCCGCCGTGTGGATTGGATCCCCAACGACGGAGGTCAACATACCACTCGAGATCGCTGCCGTTGGTGTCATCGCGTCCGCCATCA